TCTGCGCACTTGTCCTGTATTGCGTGCACATCATTGCAAACCTGATGAGGGCTATATGCCGAAACGTTGTTTTAACTACGAAAATGTGTTCGAACGTTGCAGTGTAAATAGAAGGGAGCGAGTCCGCTCCATCTGTAATTCTGTATGAAACTGCAGGAGGCCTCACCGCTTCTAATCTTTTTATCTTTGCTAATGAAAGACATTACAATTGGCGCTGCACGTCATTTGTACGAAAAACCTGGACTAATGCATACTGCAAAACGTGTAATTTTAGTTGCATTAAAATTTCGGTGCCAGGGACCTGCCAGGTTTCAGGCGTAATCTAGAATTAGGTGACCAGCTTTCCCTTCACATACAGTGCATACTCTAGTGCCTTTTAGGTGTAATTTAAATTTAGGTGCCTGGTTTCTCTACCGAAATCACCGAAATTTTAAAGTTACACCGAAAATTACATGTTCTACAGTACGTACTACTTTCAACGTTGTATGCCAAACAGTCTCGCATCCATGCTGGATGTAAAGTCTTATTGGTTTGGAGCACTACGACGAGTCTACACCTGTCTGGCCTTCATCAACATCTGTGTGTGTGTGTGTGTTTGTGTGTGTGTGTGTGTGTTTGTGTGTGTGTGTGTGTGTGTTTGTTTGTGTGTGTGTGTGTGTGTGTGTTTGTGTGTGTGTTTGTGTGTGTGTGTTTGTGTTTGTGTGTGTGTGTTTGTGTGTCACTCTTGATACAACGTAGATTCACGTCCATGGTACGATCAAGCTATGGCTGTAGCTAGGCAGCTCAGACTACCGATAAAAAGTGACGGAATGGGAAAGTTGCCAATATGATTCGACCACGTGACGTTACTGGCACATTACCGGTGGAAAAGTTTTACTGCCGCGGCTGCTGCGGCAGTAAAACTTTTCCACCAGTAAAAAAGTGCTCAGGCTGCATGCGCGCTGGAAAAAAAGGGAAAATCCATCGTCAGTGCCGCGGTGAGAGCTGAAAACCTCACGGTAACGTTAGTTTGATATCGGTAGTGTGAATGTCCTTCACGGTTTGTCGGCATTCACGGTTTGACGGGATTCACGGTAGTCTGAACACGCCCTTAGGCCAGTTTAGTCCTACATAACGACGTTACGTAAACCTCGACATAACGCACGCTAAGGCGCGGTCCCCGACGTGCGCACTCTCGATACAACGTAGATTCACGTCCATGGTACGATCAAGCTATAGCTGTAGCTAGCCAGTTTAGTCATATTGTGCATATATTCTGCGGCATTGATTGTATCTGATGTTGATGTTAGTACAGTGTGTATATGCATGCATGGTTGAACCCGCCTTGTCCTTGTAATACCCTTCATGCTGAGGTATATCTTGTATTTCACACACGGGTTTCTACATAGCATAACTCTCGGTATAACATAACTTTGGTGTGGTCCCACAGATTACGTTATAATGGAGAGTAGACCTGTATCAGTAGGAATCAGGTTTATATACTTTGGTAGCGGTTCCAGTAACACTGCTTTGCTGGTCTGAACCTGTGCCTGGGCTACATACTGTTTGAATGGAGGGCAGTATGCGCCGTATGAACAGTTCGGTGAAAAGCAAACAGATTATGTGGAATTCTTTATTCTCACGATGTCACCATCGCCAATAGGAGATGTGTGTATGCTTGTTATTTAAAACCGATGACACGACTGCAGTTGCAATGGATGAGGAGATCGTCGGCAATGTGTACCCACCGACAATGGCGCTACTTGGAACGGAACCTGCGCCGGGAAGTAAGCGCAGCTTGTATTAAGTTTACCGTAAAGTCTTGTGTAAAAATTGCTAAAACCCGGTCGCATTTGAATAGCAGCCGACCTCGAATAGAAGCTGCACTGTTGGAAACATCAAATCGAACATAACCCGCCTTTGTATAGCAGCTCGCATTTGAATAGCAGCCGACCTCGAATAGAAGCTGCACTGTTGGAAACATCAAATCGAACATAACCCGCCTTTGTATAGCAGCTGCAGCTTCAAAGCAACACTACACTCACTCCTAGATCCTACAGGCTAAGCTGCAGCCATTGTCTGTTGTCAACATGTTGCATGCACAGACCACACGTGCATGTGAACTCGTGATGTCCGCAGTGAAGTGAATCCGGGCTAGTGTGGGGCACCAAAATTCTCCAATTCACACCAAGCCTGTCTTGTATAGAAGCCTGTCTCATAACGGAGCCTGTGAACCCCCCCCCCCCCAAAAGATGATTATAAAACGCAGCTTTTATGTAACCTGTCAATATTTTATGAAAGACTTCATTATGGATGTTCATTCCGTTTGTCCACTGTCTCCGGTGGATGTACCCAGTGTGCTGACAGTGCTCAACACCATGGCGGAGGTAGAGCGTAATACAGAACAACAAGGACAATCAAGGGTAGCAGCAAACAAGCCTTGGTTGTCCTCGTTGTTTTGTGTCCACTGTCATGATTTCCATGGGTATGTGTCGGCGCGTAGATTGCCTCTGTCGTCAAAGCCAGCGAGTGTGTGTGTGTGTGTGTGTGTGTGTGTGTGTGTGTGTGTGTGTGTGTGTGTGTGTGTGTGTGTGTGTGTGTGTGCTCTCGTTGGCCGCTAGCCTGCGGAGCGTGCTGCGTACCGTATTCAACCGACCTACCCCATGTCGGTCGTCCCCTCGTATGAGGGGACATGTGACCGTCTTACGGCAATGTTCAGGACAGGACAGGTGTGTGTGTGTGTGTGTGTGTGCGTGCATGCGTGCGTGCGTGTGTGCGTCTGTCTGTCTGTCTGTCTGTCTGTCTGTCTGTGCATGTGCACCGGTACATGTGTGTTCTGTTTTGTTTGTTTACAGAGGATTGTTTCACCATCGCAGAGGGCCTCAATGCCCTGGGAATAGGTCCGTTCCACTATCGACTCGTATTTATTATTGGCTTAATTTCGGTGAGTATCAATAGCATTAAAGAAGTTAAGCAGGTTGTGGAGGAATATGGATGGATGTGTATGTGTATGTGTGTGTGTGGGGGGGGGGGGGAGGTGTATGTGTGTGTGTGTGGGGGGGGGGGGGGTGTGTGTGTGTGTGTGTGTGTGGGGGGGGGGGGGGTGTATGTGTGTGTATGTGTGTGTATGTGTGTATGTGTATGTGTGTGTGTGTGTATGTGTGTATGTGAGCTGTTGAATGGTGTAATCCCAGCACAAGTTGCTATGTCTAACATAGCTGTTCGCTATCATCGCTTCCGCGATGGGCAGGTCTGAGGTCTGAGGTGTGTGCGTGTGTGTGTACATGTATGTATGTATGTGCATGTGTCTATGTTAGTATGCGCGCTTGCGCTCGGTGCAATTGGGGGTGAGGTGGGGTTGGGGGATCGAAGTCGATTGTTCAGCTGAATTGGTCATATTAGTAAATGACTGTACGTATAGCAGACAGTGAATGGCTAAAGGATTTTGTACCCCTGCACAACGTGCAGAAGGTTGACATGATGTTTCGCGCGAGAACATGTGGTGTTTGATTGTGGCAAGCATGTCAACTGATGAACTCACCCACACACAAGTCAGATCAAAGTCATTGTATATTAGTGGTCAATCCAACGAGGTATCCTTTCACACCAGTATTAAAAGAGTAAAATGAAATTTTGTTACACCGGTACTTTTCTAAATTGGTGACATCAGCATTGATGGAACGATAACGTTTACGAGGAAGTTGAAGTTGTCGCTTTAGCGTACATGCAACTAGATGTTGGAGGCGGTAGCGATGTGTACAATTATGGTCACGGCTCCCGTGTCTGTTTCTCTCCACTCTCGCGTCTATTTGTCACCCCCCCCCCTCCCCGATGCCCATTTCCCCCTCCTCCCCCCCCCCCCCCCCCTGTCCATTTTTCACCTCCCCCCTCTCGTGTCCATTTGTCACTACCCCCCCCCCCAACCCCCGCGTGTCCACTTGTCACCATTCTTTTGTCCATTTGTCACCACACTCACGTTTGCCTCTCACCAATCCAATGGTGACGACAATGCCTCATGCTGCTGCTGCTGCTGCTTTGGGTCTTCATGTTGTGTTGTGGCGCTGGAAATAGAGTGTCAAGCTGAGTTTGTATTCCAAGTGGTATATTGTCAGCTTGAGCACTGTGGTATATTGTCAGCTTGAGCACTATAACACACTGTGGTATATTGTCAGCTTGAGCACTATAACACACTGTGGTATATTGTCAGCTTGAGCACTGTGGTATATTGTCAGCTTAAGCACTATAACACACAGTGGTCCTCGATGAGCGCAAGTTTCATTACTGAATTGTTAGCATCCTCAAGCTAAGCTCATGACGAGTGAATTATTATTTCTCCCAAACACTGCGTATTGTTGTTGTTGTTGTATACTTTATTTATAGTGGAAATCAAAACAGGCAAAATGCCTAATAACATTGGACCCACTGTGAATAACATGTTAAAGGATATTGTGGAAAAAAGTAGATACAAGAGAAAAAGAGAAAGGAAAAATGACGGAAGGTTGGTTGCAACGAACAGATATCAATCCAGTGAGCATTGGAAAACCTATGTCGCTGATAATATATACTGCAAGGCTTGAGATTTAAAATCCAAATACCTATTTGAACATTTTGCTGCTGGTGGCAATCTATTCCACATAATGGCTCCAGCGTGCGTTAGGCGCTTAGCAGAACGAGCAGTGCTAGCAGGTGGGACCACAAGCAAGTTGCTTTGGCCTCCCCGAGTGCGAGTTGAGGGCACGACAGCAAAAAAGGACTCAAACAGGGTGCTACATGCATCATGCAAACATCGCCAGATGAAACAAAACATATTCAAGTGCACAGAAACCTGTAGATCACATACATGCATTCGATTTAGCAGGGGAGCAGTACTGGTCCACGGTGGCGACTTGCAGACTGCCCGAGCGGCACGTTTGAACAGCCTATGCAGCCGTTGTTCCTGGGCAACTGTCAAATACGGGTAGTAACTAATAGAAGCATACAAAAATTCAGGCAAAACGATAGATCTGAAGTAGGTGAGTCGGCATGGATACGGCAGCGAGGAAGCATGTCGCAGCAGGACAGCAATTTTGCCGGCAACACGACGAGCAACATGGTCCACCATTGTGGTCCAACTCATGTCCGAGTCAAAATGCAGGCCAAGGTATTTGGCAGATGTGACTACTGGTAGGACTTGTGAATTGCATACAACATTGATGTCGAGGGCTGCAGCTCTATGGTGTGGTATGGCGAGTATCTGCGTCTTGGTCTCGTTAAGGATCAGTCCACGTTTCTTCAACCAAGTGGCCAGGTACTGAACTGCTGCAGTGAGGCGCTGGGAGACAACTTCTGGCTGTGGACTGCTCGCACGCAGCGAGATGTCATCAGCAAACTGAATAGTGGTGACGTCATGAGGGGCAAGGTCGCCGGCAATATCCCTCACATACAGAACGAAGAGCAAAGGTCCGAGAACTGACCCTTGAGGAACCCCTGACTGGCTGTCATAAGTTGTACTTCTGGTTTTTCCTGTCTCCACGTATTGCCGGCGACACATCAAGTAGTCTGAAAACCATTGCAAAGCAGTGCTAGTGAGACCCAGTTCAAAGAGGTCCTCAACCAGAATGCTATGCTTTACCTTGTCGAAGGCTTTAGACATGTCGACAAATGCTACTCCTGTGTGCTGCCCAGCGGCTTGTGCTTCATTGATGTTCTCTACAGCTAGCGCTAAGGCATCTGCTGTGGAATGCTGGTGTCTGTAACCAAACTGACTAGTAGGCAAGAAATTGTTCGTGTTGAGGTACTGCAGAAGCTGCTTATGAACAATACGTTCAAGCACTTTCGACACTATCGGCAATAGGGAGACTGGTCGGTAATTCTTGGGTTGGCTGGGGTCTCCAGCCTTGAACAGAGGCCGTATCTTACCCACCTTCATTGCCGCAGGAAACTGTCCTTCTCTCAATGACTTATTAAATAGTAGCGTGAGTGACGGTGCCAGGATGTCAGCATGCATCTGGAGGAGACTTGCTGGAATATCATCACTCCCAGTGGCTTTTCTGGTGTCCAACTGTTCCAACATTTTCCGAGTAGTTGCAATGGAGACTGGCAAGAATTCCGAGAAGTGCACCGCAGGTGGAGGCCCAAGGGGTAGGCGTAGCTGTGCAGGGCGAGCTGGATCTTCCACAACTTTCGAAAAAGTGTCTCGAATCGCATCCACTGTGCACTGTGGATCCCTGTACGTCGACTGTTTGCCTGTCAACTCCTTGATTATTTTCCAAGTCTCTCTGGCATTTCCAGTACATTGCTGAAATTTGGAGTTGTAGAATTCCTGTTTCCGGGTCCTGTTGTAGCTAGTTGCCGCGCGTCTGGCTGTACTAAATTCATCATAAGTCTCCTGTGTCTTAGCAGAGAGCCACTTTCGGTGCAACCTATTCCGCTTGTGTAGTAAGTACAACAATTGCCGGTCAATCCATGGCACTGAAGGCTTCTTCGTTCTGTGATTACTTTGAAGTGGGGCATGGACTTCCAAAACCTCAATAAACCGGCTAGACCACTCGGTCCACATGGCGCTTGGGTTGCCGGTAATACTACACAAGTTCTTCTGGGTTAGGTCACGCCGGAAGTGATCGTGGTTTATCCGGTGATAGTTGCGGTATAAACGTGTGGTGTCAGATCCACGAGGCACAATGAGGTGAAAGTCACTGGCCACGGCAGCATGGTCACTGAAAGCGACCGGGATGATCTTCGCTGTAGTGGAAGGATCAAAATTGTTCAGTATCAAATCGAGGGTGCTGTCTTGTCCTGTTGAGCTAAATCGCGTAGACTTGTTGACACCGTGATGCAGAGCATAGCTGTTCAGCAAGTCAGATAAGTAGTGATACTGAGGGTCCCTGGCACTTAGGTCAATATTCACATTAAAGTCACCACAAACGATAGCATTTGGCTGTGGCCTTAGAGCAGCGCAAAGATGTTCGTCTAGCTTGTCCCAGTAACCCACAGGTTCAGATGGAGGGCGGTAGATCGTTCCAACAAGACAACTGCGGGGTTTGCAAGCGACTTCACACCAGCAACTTTCCACACCATCAGTTGTTATGTCGTCTCTTGGTTTTACCGGAAGACATGACTTCCAGTATATGCAAACTCCTCCTCCTACTCGACCACTACGGTCTCTGCGTGTTACACTATATCCAGTCAGGGCTATTTCTTGGTCCGAAACAGTGGCGTCGAGCCAGGTTTCGTTGACACAGACTATATCCGGGGCGTTGAGTTGTTGTGTGAGCAGTAGGATGTCATTGAGTTTGTTACGCAGGCTCCTGATGTTGAGAAATAGAACGCGAAGTGCACTTGGGTGGGTAGGAGAAGGTAGTGGAACTGACGGACTAAATGAGTCAGCAAGGGGGTTAAGTGAAGGCATGGCTGTTCTTGTAAAAGTGGGTTGGAGTCTGGCAGTTGGGTTTGACTCTGTCATAGATTATGTAAAAGAAGATCTAATCAGTACTCAAAGGTTATCCCACCGATTGTAACATTCGCCAGGCTGCTGTCAGCATCCTCTTGTGAATCTGCATGTCCAACTGGCAGTTCATTACTTTCAGAAAATCCTTCAGTGCTGTGCAGTGCAGTCCTGGACTGTGCTGGGAAGGTGTGTTTCCCTGAAGCCAGGGTGAAGCCCTCAGCGTCAGGTGACTGGTGAGCTGTCTTTCCTCTGCAGAATTTGTTCATATCCTGCATTGGGGTTCTGCTCGGACTTGTGGTCTCATTGCGAGCCTGCTGCAACAGTTCCGATATATTCCTAGTGCTCTGCTTGTCCTTTGGATCCGCGTGGGGTTGTGCTGGGTCCGTACAAGGTTCACTAGGTCGAGATGAGATCTCTGACTCTGCATCCGTAGATGAACTCGAGGCGCCAAGTACTGGAGGTGGTGGCTGGGGTTCAGAGCTGTGGTGCACAGAGTTGTTGGCTTGACCTGCGCTTGACCCTACCATACTGGAGTACAGCGTACCAGATGCAGAGTTCTTGCCCCGTTGCATCTGCTGAGTGCAATTTCTGGACACGTGGTGGCTTGACCCACACTTATAGCATGTTGGGGTCTGACCCTTGTGCCATACACGGATTCTCTGGTGTGAGCCAGGCAAGACAATCACAGAGGGGACAGCTACGGTCGGTACTATACTGACGTACACCGTTCCAGTGGTGAAGGTACAGGCTTCAATGGTTTTCACCTCCCGCTTTGGTTTGCCGATCACAGTGCCGAATTTCTCGATTGCAGAGACAATGGAGGGGAGGGAAACGTCTTCAGCCACGCCAAAAGCATGGACTGACACTACAGCACCATCTCCAACCACCAAGGTCAAAGGCGTTCCGTTAGCCTGCAGGCCTTTCGTCACAACATCGTCCCTTACTTCAGTGCTGCAAAATGTAATTCTGCAGAATCCACGTCGGCCATTTAGATCTACTTGCTTCACATCTCCTGGTTTTACTCCAGCAGACAGCAACAGCTTCACGTAGAACGCATGATCGTTCCTTGGATGGTCCTCCCCTAACTGTATCGAACACACTCTCGACATTTTAGAAACAAACCCAGTGTTAGGGAAGAAGAGAAGGCATCGTTCGTATCCAGCAGGGGTGGGGGAGTGTAGCTTTCTTTCCGCCGTGCTAACTGGAAAGTTAGATGTACAGTCAGACCTCGTTTATCCGGTCCTCTTTTATGTGGATCCCTCGCCATCCGGAAGAAAATCGTTGGTTATTGATTTACAGCATACGCCATGCATACATACAGTATGTGTGTTCGATTATCCGGCTCCCTCGCCTATCCGGATATTTTTGTGGAAAACGGATGTGTGCGGTTAAGCGAGGTCTGGCTGTACTGCGGAGTCCTCGGCGCATGCTCTGGATGACTGTTGGCGAGCGTCTCTCCCCCATTTCAGTTAAGTTGAAGTTGGCAGGAAACGCAAGTTCTACGCTGGCAGCAGCTACCGTCTTCTGCAAGCAAACAATGATTAGACATCTGCGCGTACTCGATCTCCGGTGGACAGCTAGCCATTTCACATTGTCTACATATTTTTTTACTGAATACCACAGAACCATCAGTTGCTGCACAGCGGGGGCGGTGGCATATTGGATGGAAGTGAGGGCGGGGCAGAAGTAACTCCTCCGACCAAAGGTCTCGGATTCATTGTTACTCGTGTGCGCCGAAATCTACGTATACTGACATGAGTGTGCATGCATGCTTAGGGATGGGGTTGCCCGTGGTTACCGCTGGTTGCCGCTGTTTTCCGGTATTGCCGTAGCCCTCTAGACTAGCTGGAATGCAAACCCGTATTTGTAACTTGCTGTTGTGTGTGTGTGTGTGTGTGTGTGTGTGTGTGTGTGTGTGTGTACGTACGTGTGTGTGTGTGTGTGTGTGAGTTTGTGTGTGAGTTTGTGTGTGTGTGTGTGTGTGTGTGTGTGTGTGTGTGTGTGTGTGTGAGTTTGTGTGTGTGTGTGTGTGTGTACGTGTGTGTGTGTGTGTGAGTTTGTGTGTGAGTTTGTGTGTGTGTGTGTGTGTGAGTTTGTGTGTATGTGTGTGTATGTGTGTGTATGTGGGTGTGGGTGTATGTACGGTGTTCTGTCCAGGTTGCTACAGGACTAGGCTCGACGGGGTTTTCCCTCTTTCCACCGCTGGCTCGCTGTCATCTTCACCTGGACAGTTTAGATGAAGCTCTCCTGACCAGCGTAAGGGGCCCTTTATCCGCTTTGGGAAAAGAAATCTATTGCCAGGTGGTGGGTGGGCGAGCACTGATTTCACATTATGGGAAGGTTGAAGCCCATTGCGTATTGCCAAATAAGGAAGGTATGAGTAATGCACGTGAGTACGCTGGGATCAGCAATGCACTGTTCAACACCCCAGACGACCATGCCCAGGTGGCTGTGTGGGGTGTTATGTGAGTACACTGGGATCAGCAATGCACTGTTCAACACCCCAGACGACCATGCCCAGGTGGCTGTGTGGGGTGTTATGTGAGTACACTGGGATCAGCAATGCACTGTTCAACACCCCAGACGACCATGCCCAGGCGGCTGTGTGGGGTGTTATGTGAGTACGCTGGGATCAGCAATGCACTGTTCAACACCCCAGACGACCATGCCCAGGCGGCTGTGTGGGGTGTTATGTGAGTACGCTGGGATCAGCAATGCACTGTTCAACACCCCAGACGACCATGCCCAGGCAGCTGTGTGGAGTGTTATGTGAGTACGCTGGGATCAGCAATGCACTGTTCACTGTTAGCAGCAATGCACTGTTCACTGTTAGCAGCAATGCACAGCAATGCACTGTTAGGTTGTGGCTGGGGTTTAGGTTGTGGCTGGGGTTTAGGTTGTGGCTGGGGTTTAGGTTGTGGCCGGGGTTTAGGTTGAGGCTGGGGTTTAGGTTGTGGCTGGGGTTTAGGTTGTGGCTGGGGTTTAGGTTGTGGCTGGGGTTTAGGTTGTGGCTGGGGTTTAGGTTGAGGCTGGGGTTTAGGTTGAGGCTGGGGTTTAGGTTGTGGCTGGGGTTTAGGTTGAGGCTGGGGTTTAGGTTGTGGCTGGGGTTTAGGTTGTGGCTGGGGATTAGGTTGTGGCTGGGGTTTAGGTTGAGGCTGGGGTTTAGGTTGAGGCTGGGGTTTAGGTTGAGGCTGGGGTTTAGGTTGAGGCTGGGGTTTAGGTTGAGGCTGGGGTTTAGGTTGAGGCTGGGGTTTAGGTTGTGGCTGGGGTTTAGGTTGTGGCTGGGGTTTAGGTTGTGGCTGGGGTTTAGGTTGTGGCTGGGGTTTAGGTTGTGGCTGGGGATTAGGTTGTGGCTGGGGTTTAGGTTGAGGCTGGGATTTAGGTTGTGGCTGGGGTTTAGGTTGAGGCTGGGGTTTAGGTCGAGGCTGGGGTTTAGGTTGTGGCTGGGGTTTAGGTTGTGGCTGGGGTTTAGGTTGTGGCTGGGGTTTAGGTTGTGGCCGGGGTTTAGGTTGTGGCCGGGGTTTAGGTTGTGGCCGGGGTCTAGGTTGTGGCCGGGGTCTAGGTTGTGGCTGGGGCTGAGGCTGTGGCTAGGGCTGAGGCTGTGGCTAGGGCTGAGGCTGGACGCATGTGGACCGAAAGTTCATACTACGTGCCTATTTTGTAGTGCTGAGGCTGGAGCTTAGGTTATGTTTGTTTTTGTCTACATGTACTTGGTAGAGTAGAGTAGAGTAGAGCGGATGTTGGAAAGAAAAGACAGTAGATGGTAGTTTACAAACGCAGGTCTACCCATTTCGGTCGAACGTCGATTTTACAGTACGATGTACGATATCTTATGAAAATCAGCTCTCATGGTCACACAAGTACAGAAACACCGCACCTCTACCAACTTCTACCGAATTCTACCCGCCTCAAACCTGGTAGAGCCGGTAGAGGAACGTAGAATCTACCGTTTGGGGTAGAAAAAATGAACACATCTACCGAAAAAAGTAGTTTCTACCAAAACCAGTAGATCAAAACGACACCTCCCAGGTTTGTGGTTGAGACTGGGGCTGGAGCAGAGGCTGAGGTTGAGGTGCTACCAAACCCTCTTCTACTCCCATATACTGTGCAATTCAGGGAGCAGTACAATTCCGTTATTTCACTACTCGCTGGTGCAAATCAAACTAGGCCCAGCTAGTGCGAATGAACGGTTTTGTAATCGTCCCTACACGGCTTCACATTGTTCCGCATGCTGTAACCATGCACAACTCATATGGTTACCGTGTTGTGTTGTCATGCCAACAGAGTGGATTCGCCGGAGCAGCATGCGGCGGCATGGGCATTGGTTACCTAGCAACGCATTTCGGCCGCAGAACGGTAAGCCTATATGCATTTTAACCGCCATTGTTGTCGCTATGGTGATGTCCAGTGTTCCGATTGTAGCAGCTACTGTTGGGGACTTGGAAATCCGGTCAAATGACACAGGGTCGGCGCCCTCAGTGCGTACAGAACACGTTGCATGCCGTGCACGTGTTGATCGTATGCGTACTCGTGGCTGAATTGCCAGCGCCCTGGGTCGCTTCACCTCCGACCGGATTTTCATGTCCATGACAGCATATCATGTTTGTCTGTCACGTGACTTTCAGCGTTGTTGTGAGATACAGGTGCAGTGGTTCAAGCAAACTACTTCAAGACACTGAGCAATGCAGGTTACGTGTGCTAAGGCGTTCTCTCTCTCTCTCTCTTTCTCTCTCTCTCTCTCTCTCTCTCTCTTCTCTCTCTCTCTCTCTCTCTCTCTCTCTCTCTCTCTCTCTCTCTCTCTCTCTCTCTCTCTCTCTCTCTCTCTCTCTCTCTCTCTCTCTCTCTCTCTCTCTCTCTCTCTCTCTCACACACACACACACGCATGCACGCACGCCCGCGCGCACGCACACACATGCACACACACACTGCACAGGCTATCATAATGATGATATTGTGGATATCCTACTTTGGTTTCCTGAGCGGCATCACCCCTGGTTACCGCTGGCTACTGGGTCTGAGGTTTGTTGTCGGCTTTGGTCATGGTGGAGCTGGTCAGAGGTAAGCTGCCATCCCATGCAGTTATTTATTGTTTTTTTTCTCCCAGAATTGAGGCCACACTGGAGTATAAGCCGCACTGGAGTATAAGCCGCACCCTGATTCTTGTCACAATCTGCAGTCATCTACCCTATGTATCACCTTGACTTTAACCGTTGTAAAATAGGCGACGCCAACTTTTTCTGGGTGAATAACTGGTGATTAAAGTGCGGCTTATACCTTGTGGTACTAGGATTGCCTGTGCAGACAGATGTTCATGGTCCGCAAGGGGGGGGGGGGGGGGGGGGTTCGCATCCGGGATGATGACACAGTAGATATGATAGGCACCCACAGCTGTTGGTCAAGCCAAATCAAATCAGTCAGTATAAATTGGTTCTACCATAGAAGTGGTTCCACTGTAGCGAGTGTGTACTGTACTATGGAGTGGATCTACTATAGAGTGGGTCTGCTATAGCGTGGATCTACTTGAGCGTGGATCTACTATAGCGTGGATCTACTATAGCGTGGATCTACTGCAAAGTGGATCTGATATGGAGTGGATCTACTATAGAGCGGATCTAATATAGAGTGGATCTACTATAGAGTGGATCTAATATAGAGTGGATCTACTATAGAGTGGCTCTTATATGGAGTTAATCTTCTATAGCGTGGATCTACTATGGAGTGGAATTACTACAGAGTGGATCTACTACAGAGTGGATCTACTACAGAGTGGATCTACTACAGAGTGGATCTACTACAGAGTGGATCTACTACAGAGTGGATCTACTACAGAGTGGATCTACTATGGTGTGGGTGTGATATACCGTAAAAGCCCATATATAGGCCCCGGGCGTATAGAATAGCAGCCTCAATTTCCTGGGCGTATACAAGGGCACGGGCGTTATTTTGGAACCGGGCGTTTACTTGGAATAGGGATAGCAGTAAGTATTGGGTATCAGTACCTGTACATGTACTGGTGTTGCCAGTATACCTGGGCGTATACATGGGCATGGGCGGTATTTTGAAACAAAAGTGTTGACTTCCCCTGACTGGGCGTGTACACGGAGGGTGGGCGTAATTTTGAGTGGTCGTATACAGGGGCTTTTAAGGTAGAGTAGATCTACTGTAGGGTGGATCTGCTACTATAAAGTGGATCAACTATATTCAAAGAGAATTGGTGAGCAGTGCACCCATGCTCATTCCCTGGACACTGCAAATTCACAACTCATTTCAATTCACAGAATCTTTTTCGACCTTTCGTTAAATAGTCATCATCAGGATGCAATATGAAGTGGAAGTCTGCCAAGGAGCAGTTATATACAATGATTTGGTGAACATGGATGCAGTGAATGGGATTTTCGGTCTTTGACCACTTGCTGGTGAGCTGATCTACTCACCTCCCACCGCTTTAGGAGCTGCATCTGCGCCTTGATTCTTGAAGGGTGGTGGCGTTCCTACGGATGCGGAAAACCCGGCTTCCAGCCGAGTCTCACGCGGACCGTGAATTTTTTTTTGGTGTTATTTTGGTATTTATAGGTGTTGATAGTACTTCTATGATGACACAATCATCATGTGACCTCTGTGCTAGGGATATGCCTATAGCCAGTAAAAGATCGCAAGTTCTCACTCATGTGCCGAGTGTTGGTAATAAGCTAGCGCAGCACATCTGTCACCAGATAACTTGAAGTTGTAGAAGGCTGTTGGTTTGCGCTTCGTAGATGTGTTGGAGCTAGGTGTCAGGTCGTCGAATGTCTCAATATCCGTTAGTTTTGTGCCTCATTGTCGCACTATCTGACTGTTTTTATCTCGTTACCTCGGTGGACTGTTAGTCATAACTAGTAATGTATAGGTCCTTTTCTCTTTCCACGTCACTATTGACTCAAGATCCGAGTTTTTGAATTGAGAAATGTTTGAACAGGTGGAACAGGTTTCTCGCTAGTAATACTCGAATGTGACTATGTCAGTTTTTTCTCCAGAAAACATCGTCACCTAGACAATAAGTGTGGTGTGAATGTTTTAGAGTAATTCCCATCCAGCACTACTTGTTGATCTCTGGGCCTTCGAAGGATCGTTTCTGATCTCCTCTGCCTCCCGCAATTTGCGGCTTGCCCTGTCACCGGCTCTTGCAATCAAAGACACTGCCGAGAAGATGCTGTCTCTGGCAGTAAGGCTGATCCCTGCATGCTTAGCTTGCATGTGGTCACCCCATGGCTTATCCACAGTGCGCCTTCAAGCTTCATCATTGTGTTCCTCCAGTCTCGTCTCCATTGTGCGGGCCCGTCGCTCATATGATTATACTTCTCCCTGCACAACTTGAACTGCAGACAGTATATCACAATTCTTTTCAAATATACTTTCACTCCACCCGACTTACAAGTCAGACACGGTTCCAGTGGGCGTCCTCTTCCCTCTATCTTTCTGATGTTGGGCTCCTTAATGCAGCTGAGTGGACTTTGTGCTGAGTAGCAGAGCTGATGTTTGAGGCTACACGCATGCTCGTAAACCACCCGGACGGGTAACTCGTGCTTCCGGATAGCTTTGCTCACGCTGCGATGCACCCTGTCCGACTTATATTCTGGCAGCTTGTGAAACGCACAACACGAATTACCTCGGCGGCGACGCTTGGGGTTCCTTGCTTCTTCTCGGGCACTGAAGATGAGGCTCTCTGAGTTGAAGTTGGTCTTGAATTTTCTATTCACTTTCTATACACGTGGTGTCATTGGAAGACAGTCGCTGTGCTCTTCAGAACTGAGACTTGGCAACTGCAAGTTTGATGTGATGGGGCACAGCAGATGCGTAGTCAATCAGCAATCCACTGTTGCATGGCTTTTGGAAGAGCTTGTACGTCATCCAGCCCGACTGTTGTATGGAAATCATCACGTCCATGCAATCAATGTAGCCTTTGCTCCTGCTGAGCTCGTAGGTGAACTTGATTCGGTCGTGTCCTGAATTGAAGTGCTGTATTAGCTCCAAGAGGCGTTTCTCACCGTGGGTCCAGAGAATGATCACATCATCAATATACCGTTTGTACAGTACATGCAAAACCGGTGAATCGGCAAGAAGGCTCGTTTCCAGAGAGTGCATGAACAGTATTGCGAATGGTGGTGCTAGATTGTTGCCCATTGCAACTCCCTCTAGCTGGTGGTAAACTTGTCGCCCGAACATAAAAAAATTGTCACTAAGAACAAATTGAAGCAAGTCCTTGACTCTGCACAAGTTATGGTCATACACGTTGATTCTTTTGAAATTCTGTTCCAATATTTCTCCCACTGCGTATACTCCTTCTTCAGTGGAAATGCTCGGGTACAGGCCCACGACATCCAACGTGGCAAGAACTGTTCCCTCACGAGCCTTGGGATCTGGGAATAAATCGCAGATGTCATCAAGGACTTCATTCGTATTAGTCAGGTGTGCTGGGACAAAGTCTAGCAACTGGTGTAGAATGCATTCTAGTATGATTGATATGCCTGTGACAGGACTACCACATGCTGGCACGACGGGTCGTAGGGGCAGGTTCTGTTTATGATCTTTTGGGAGACCATAGAACTCAGGGAATCTTGTACTGTAGTATCATTGGGAATCGACTTCCGCAGCTTGGAATCCATGTTCTTGCACTTGTCCTCAAGGACAGCTTTCACCCATGTCTCGAACTCGGTTATTGTTAGGTCAGCCTTTTCGTACATAGCGCTATCTGATAGCAATGCGTCCGCCTTCTCCAGGTAGAGCGTTTGTTTCAGTGCGACTAACTTCGTACTTTTGTCTGACGGTTTGATGACTGTACTTGTTGCCCTTGCGAAGTCTGGCTAGCTCATCTCATTCCTCCTTGGTCATATTAGACTTCGGTGGCTTGTGTTTGGTGTAGGCAGCGAGAACATCATCCTTGAAGTTCGCAAGCGTCCTTTCTTCATCAATGCTCCTTGGCAGACTTCCACTTCATATTGCATCCTGATGATGACTATTTGCCGAAACGTTGAAAAAGATTCTGTGAATTGAAATGAGTTGTGAATTTGCAGTGCCGGTCCAGGGAACGAGCATGGGTGCTCACCAATTCTCTTTGAGTTATAAAGCTGCAGGATGCCTCACCTCTACTACATTCGTTACTATAGATCTGACCTGCTATGGCATAGATCTACTATAGAGTGGTTCTACTATAGAGAGTGTCTGCTATACAGTGATTCTGCTATAGAGTGGATCTACTATAGAGTGGATCTACTATAGAGTGGATCTAGCATAGAGTGGATCTGCTATAGAGTGGATCTACTATAGAGTGGATCTACTATGGAGTGGATCTACTATAGAGTGGATCTACTATAGAGTGGATCTGCTATAGGGTGGATCTACTATAGAGTGGATCTACTATAGAGAGTGTCTGCTATAGAGTGGATCTACTGTAGGTTGGATCTGCTGTAGGTTGGATCTGCTGTAGGTTGGATCTGCTGTAGGTTGGATCTGCTGTAGGTTGGATCTGCTGTAGGTTGGATCTGCTGTAGGTTGGATCTGCTGTAGGTTGGATCTGCTGTAGGTTAGATCTGCTGTAGGTTAGATCTGCTGTAGGTTGGATCTGCTGTAGGTTGGATCTGCTGTAGGTTGGATCTGCTGTAGGTTGGATCTGCTGTAGGTTGGATCTGCTGTAGGTTGGATCTGCTGTAGGTTGGATCTGCTGTAGGTTGGATCTACTGTAGGTTGGATCTGCTGTAGGTTGGATCTGCTGTAGGTTGGATCTACTGTAGGTTGGATCTACTGTAGGTTGGATCTACTGTAGGTTGGATCTGCTATTACACATGGCACAGAGCACCATGCATTGTTCGTTGTAACTAATAGTTTCATGTCCATAGGCAATCACCAGACAACTAATACTGGATGAACAGCTAAGATCCGATTATATGCAGTAGTGTTACAGAGGCAGCTGTGTGTGTAAGCAAGATCATAAGAGTGAGGAATTTCATACATGGATTCAGCGGGCATTGCAAGAGTGATTTAGGTCACACCGTTGTACTTGCCAAGCAGGAACTTTGCAGCATGGCGACACTTGGACACAATCTCCGTGCGTTTGTTAAGCGAGATACTGCGGTCTGATGCTAGGATGTGGTACTTCTCGGCTATGCAGAGGTTGCAGCGCCTTGCGACGTTGGAGTAGGCATTAGCACGCTCCTTGACAGCGCAGGAAATCTCGTATGGTCTATCCTGGCGCTTAAGGCTCCGCACATACCTAGCCAGCTGAGTGCTGCTATCATAGCGCTCATGTCTTAGCGTGGTCATATGGTTGGAGTGTCTGCTCTTGAACTCTGGCGCCGACATCCCAGTGTATGTTTTCAAGGTGCTGCCTGACTTGATGCTTGCCACGTACACCATATTGGTGGTCCTGCATGCACTATTCAGCGGGCATAGCGCTGCAACACGGCAATTGCATGGTAAATCAGCAAGTTTCGGTTGTAGTACTTTCTTGTTGTGTCCTATCTGCTACTATAGAGTGGTTCTACTATAGAGTGGATTTTTACACAGTGGATCTAATATGGGGTGGACTCGGAGGGAGTCTTCACTCTCTTCACTCTTGACCCTTCACGCTATGGGGTGGATACACTATGGAGTGGATCTACTACAACGTGGATCTACTATAGAGTGGGTCTGCTGTAGAGTGGATCTACCATAGAGTGGATCTACTATAGAGTGGATCTGGTATAGAGTGGATCAACTATAGAGTTGATCTACTGTAGAGTAGGTCTGTCTGGCTCTGGTGTAGTGGCCAAGGGCTGTATGTTGATGTTGTCCCTACATGCTTACCAAATATCAAGCAAGAACAGAATTTTCTTCTGTTCAATTTCATTTTCTTGGCTGAATACTGGGCCCTCTTCTTGTTTTCACTCTCTATCTATCTTCTCTCTCTCTCACCCTCTCTCTCTCTCTCTCTCTCTCTCTCTCTCTCTCTCTCTCTCTCTCTCTCTCTCTCTCTCTCTCTCTCTCTCTCTCTCTCTCTCTCTCTCTCTCTCTCTCTCTCTCTCTCTCTCTCTCTCTCTCTCTCTCTCTCTCTCACTCTCACTCTCACTCTCACTCTCACTCTCTCTCTCACTCTCTCTCTCACTCTCTCTCTCTCTCTCTCTCTCTCTCTCTCTCTCTCTCTCTCTCTCCCTCTCTCTCTCTCTCTCTCTCTCTCTCTCTCTCTCTCTCTCTCTCTCTCTCTCTCTCTCTCTCTCTCTCTCTCTCTCTCTCTCTCTCTCTCTCTCTCTCTCTCTCTCTCTCTCTCTCTCTCTCTCTCTCTCTCTCTCTCTCTCTCTCTCTCTCTCTCTCTCTCTCTCTCTCTCTCTCTCTCTCTCTCTCTCTCTCTCTCTCTCTCTCTCTGTGTCTCTCTCTCTCTCTCTCTCTCTCTCTCTCTCTCTCCCAGGGTGTCGATATTGTTTGAGAATCTGCCAACACGCTACCGTACATTGGGAGCCGGAGTGTTGACTGTAAGTGCTACTAACAATGATCGATGTCGATCATCGGGCGTTTCCAGTTGCTAGCTAAGTCACTTTCTCAGATTCCCTTTTTAGTCTCTCTCTCTCGTCACCCGGCAGGCTCACCTGATCCATGTCTGGCAAAGAGAAGCTACAGAAGTATATTGCAGCGTGCATATATGTGTGGGCGTGTGTGTGTGTGTGTGTGTGTGCGCGCACGTGTGCGTGTGTATGTGCGTATGTGTGTGTGTGTGTGTGTGTGTGTGTGTGTGTGTGTGTGTGTGTGTGTGTGTGTGTGTGTGTGCATATGTGTATGTGTGTATGTCAAATGGTGTGAGTGTGTGTTTGTGTGCGCATGCTTCATGTTCACTCTAATTGCTGGTAGCTCTTCTTCAACATCGGTAACTTCCTGGAAGCAGTTTTCATCAAGGTGTTGATACCGACTGGGCGCAAGGTTGCATGGCGTTACATCCTGTTCACGGACGCCTCCCTGTTTGCCGTTTGCATCCTATTTTCATGTGTGAGTTCTTCTAGAAAAGCGGATCCTGCTGCTGCTGCTGCTGGTGGTGCTGATGCTGCTGTTGGTGCTGGTGGTGGTGCTGGTGGTGCTGGTGCTGGTGGTGCTCGTGGTGCTGGTAGTGCTCGTGGTGCTGGTGGTGCTGGTGCTCGTGGTGCTTGTGGTGCTCGTGGTGCTGGTGGTGCAGGTGCTGCTGCTGTTGCTGCTGGTGGTTGTGGTGGTGGTGCTGCTGGGTGTGCTTGTTCTGTAACTCATAGTGATGATGTTGATGATGACCACCGCTGTTGCTAATACTCACGTGTGGCTATTACTCAGTCATGTCCTATGCATTGTCATGCCATCTTGTACGGCAGGATGACTACGACTGTATGCAGCAAATTATGTGTTTGTTTCCCTTGCAAGATGTCCGTTAATACCGGTAGTTATTTTCATCGCTGACATGGTTAGTTCCGACCAGTCCATACAAACACATGTACAAGTGTACTCTACTGGTGTGGGCAAGCAGCTGCAGCTACCCCGTTTAGAAATCCAATACTGTAAACGGCCCAATGTTTGCGTCACTAAATTTTGCGATCTCTCAGAACCAGCGAGTTTACGATGGCAAATGTTCGTAGAGCACTGTGGCGACACATATACACCCACTGTTGAAGTTTGTTTTCAAGATGATTAATATTTACGTTGCGCTCTTCTCGCAAAATTAGCAAGCATTAATACGTCACAAACATTAGGCAGCTTACAGTAACGGCACAATGACAGGTTGAATGATGACACCATGGCAGGTATTGGAGAATGGCACAGTACAGGTGTAACAGAGTGAAAGTATTTTGAGGAAAATACATTTCAACACTTTCAAAAAACCTTTTTTCAAATGACTCATCATGAACATGGGTGAGCAGCAGCTTTGGCCTTGTACAGATTGGTCATCAACCATCATACCACAACTGCGCTCTCCATCTGCTGATGGTGTACTGTGCAGTGCAGTGGCTGTTGATGCTGTGCTGGTGCTGATGCTGTGCAGTGGCTGCTGATGGTGTACTGTGCAGTGACTGCTGGTGGTGTACTGTGCAGTGGCTGCTAATGGTGTACTGTGCAGTGGCTGCAGATGGTGTACTGTGCAGTGGCTGCTGCTGATGGTGTACTGTGCAGTGGCTGCTGCTGATGGTGTACTGTGCAGTGACTGCTGATGGTGTACTGTGCTGTGGCTGCTAATGGTGTACTGTGCAGTGGCTGCTGATGGTGTACTGTGCAGTGGCTGCTGATGGTGTACTGTGCAGTGGCTGCTAATGGTGTACTGTGCAGTGGCTGCTGATGGTGTACTGTGCAGTGGCTGAAGATGGTGTACTGTGCAGTGGCTGCAGATGGTGTACTGTGCAGTGGCTGCTGATGGTGTACTGTGCAGTGGCTGCTGCTGATGGTGTACTGTGCTGTGGCTGCTGATGGTGTACTGTGCAGTGGCTGCTGCTGATGGTGTACTGTGCAGTGGCTGCTGCTGATGGTGTACTGTGCAGTGGCTGCTGATGGTAAACTGTGCAGTGGCTGCTGATGGTGTACTGTGCAGTGGCTGCTAATGGTGTACTGTGCAGTGGCTGCAGATGGTGTACTGTGCAGTG